TTTTTTTTTAATCTATTTATTTATGGGATTTAATCACACAGTGATAATGTCACCCCGTGACTTACAATTAACTTGTCTACAATCTAAATATGCTAAGTATCTTACAAACTACCCAGGCTTACATGTACTTAAATAGTATTAACTAGTTATACTTGTTACACATAATTAATAACATTTAGGAGTCGACACAAAACCCTAGCATCCTCTGACAGAGGGACAGCTAGGATGCTGTTACAAGTCCCTACTTCAAATCCAGATAATTTGAAGTTTCTTTCCAGTACGTTCCGATCACACTCCATCAGAACATGGTAGATATCCTCTAATACTCCACAAACTTCGCAGTTTGGAGAAGCAGTTTTACCCATTAAGTATTTAAATTTGTTGGATGGAATGTGGCCGGACCGCATTCTCAATAATGCTACCACATATTTCCTATCTATCTCCCTACCTTCAAACCATGGGTATCGAGGCAGTTCAGGCTGGATAGTTTTATACCAGATGCCTTTCAACTGAGACCTCTCATCAAAATATTCACGCCATCTTTGTCTGCACAGTTCTTTAACATGCCCCAGCCAATCTGAGTATAGCGGTGTGCATTTGTAAATAATCCCCTCGTACGATGCTTGTTGAGCTGATGTGTCTGCTACCTCGTTACCCATGATTCCAATATGAGAGGGTATCCATTGGATAGTTATATTTCTATTCAAAGACTGCATCTTGCGGATACTTTCTAAAATAGTCATGGCTATCGGTAACCCTCGAAGACTCGAGGGTATTCGAGCCAAGTGTTGAAGGCTACTTTTTGAGTCCGAAAATATAACAAATTTGTTATGATGCATATTAAGCAAATACGACATGGCTTCAGAAATAGCTATAAGCTCACAATACATAATAGAAATCTGAGAATTAATTTTAAATTTAGCTTTAATGTTAAGTTGAGGATCAAAAAAAGCAGCCCCCAAGTCCAACCCATTTTTGGACCCATCCGTAAATATTTTATAATATTGTTTGTACTTGTCATCCATCATTATTCTACATTTGTTACGGAGATCAGTTACATTAATTAGCCTTTTTGCCATATTTATACCGTCAATAGTATCACAAATTGTGTAGGACAAGTCTACATTGGTTACCCAAATGTCCAAGGAATAAATACTCAACAACGAACTAGAGTACAAAGGAATTTCTGAGTACATTCTGTGGACCTCTATTAATACTGGTAGTTTTTTATTTCTCCAGTAGAAACCACGGCAAAGGTTAGACAGCTCCTCTAAGATACTAATAAGAATGTTATTACAATCCGACTTCGATTTTAAATAAAACTTACTTGCAAGAAACAATCTTCGAATAGATAATGGTTGCAGGCACAGGTCAGCCTCCATCACGTGGATGGGTGTGCTTCTAATAAATCCCCCTATTACTCTCATTGCTTGGTTTTGTATTCTGTCAAGTTTTATGAGGTGGCTGTTTACACAATTTCCGTACAAAAAGCAACCATAATCCATCCTACTTCGAATTAATGCTACGTATAATCTTCTAAGATGTATGGGATGTACACCCCATGCCGCACCAGCTAATATTTTAAAAATATTCAAATAACGACTGACCTTTCCCCGTAATTCATTTATGTGTTTACCCCACTTTAAGGAACTGTCCAACCACATACCAAGGTACTTGACACAATTGATTTGTTCAATAGGATGACTATCAACAATTAGTTGGATAGTGTTCCTTCTTCTCCCCCTACTGAAAATGCACACCTTTGTTTTCTTATGAGAAACATTCAAACCTAATTCTATCATCAAATTTTGAAAAACATCTAATGCGTTTTGAATATGACATACAGAATCCGATAAAGTCCTTTGCATGTCATACACAACAAAATCATCAGCGTATTGTGAGATATAAACGTTATCTATGGTTCTACAAACTTTACTTGTGGCTGCGTTGAAAAGTAAGGGGGACAAGGGATCTCCTTGAGCTATGCCTGTGCCGGTAATGCGAGACACTAAGATGTTATGTTGCAGTTCAATAAATAAGTGTCTTTGATGAAGATACCTCCAAAGATATTCACAAAGGATAGAACCAACTCCCATGTTATCTAAGATGTTTAAAAGAGACGTTAGATTTATATTATTATAAGCACTCTCAATGTCTATGAAACAACCTACTGTGGATACATTTTTGGAAAATCCAGTTTGAATGCGTGTGACCAATCTAGAGAGACCCTCATAACAGGATTTGGATCTTCGGAAGCCTGTAGTGTCATGAGATAGTAAATGATTTTTCTCTAGGAACCATTCAAGCCTACGTGTTATAATGGTATGAAATATCTTACAAAGACAAGATATGAGAGCAATGGGTCTAACACTTGTACTTGAGCCTAGGGCACTACCTGGTTTCGGTATAGGAACGATTTTAACATTTCTCCACTGCTCTGGTACGAATCCGGATGAGAAAAATCTATTGTATAAGGAGGTTAACATGACTTTAGCATTGTAGGGTAAATGTTTTATCATAGAATAAGACACGTTATCTTGACCCGGGGCTGAATCTGTATTTTTAATTGAATTAATTACTTCCTGTATCGAAACCGGTATGCACAATTGAGCGTTACAAGAATTGAATGTAGGTGTCGGTGGTGAAACATAATCGGGGGCCAGACTACACAACAATGTTTCAGCTTTACCTTGATCAACAAACGATGGAGACGATCTGTACCCTTTGATCCATCTCATGCGCTTCCACATCTCTGCAGAAGAAGTCACACTGTCTATGCTAGTGCAAAATGAACGGAAGGATTCATTTTTGGCTTGTCGTATAAGTCTTTGTGCCTCACTCACTTTTTTCTGCAAAACTTCAAGATTTTGTGGGGTCGGATTTCTTCTGAAAGTGGATAATGCTAGTCGTCTCTGTGCAACAATATGCGATAGATTTTGATTCCAATATGGCTTTGGTATGAATTTATTTGATTGTAGAGGATTCATGCACAGTTTAATCGTAGGAATGAATTCATCGGCTGCAGCATTTATAGTATCCATGAATTCATTATATGCGGATTGGTGATCTGCTGGCAATTCTAAGCGTGTTATTTGTGCCTCTATTTTCTGACTGTACTTTTGCCAATCCGCTCTTTTGAAGTTTCTTCGTTTTTTAAAGCTGTCTGATTTATTGTTTTGCATACTAATTTTAATTAACATGTGATCACTCCCCAGATTTTCATTCATGACCCCCCATTTGAATCTCAAAGCCAAATCTGTTGACACTAAAGTTGTATCTGGGGAGGAACTTTGCAAAGCTCCATTGACTAATTTTATTCGTGTGTGAGAGTTATCATTGAGTATACAAAGGTTGCTGTCCATTATTGAATCAAAGATCTGATTGCCTCTTGTATCTGTCCTGGAAGACCAATTTGAGTGATGGCCGTTCAAATCGCCTGCGACGAGAGCTTTATGTTGAGCTAATGAGAACACTTCATCCCAGTCATTTCTGCATGTATTTACTGACGAGGGACAGTAAATAGAAACGACGTTTTCTAGATGATTGCAGTTCAGTAACTTAATTTTAACAATTTGTATTTGCGAATTTGTTATGTTGACATTACATTGTGTAGCTCTAATAGAGTGATGAGTAAAGACAGCTACACCCCCATAACCATCATCACGATCTGCTCTGAATATGTTGTATCCACTCAGTCTGATAACCCTTTCAGGATCAAACCAAGTTTCACTGATTACAGCTATATGAATTTTTTCTTGATTTAATAAACTTTCAAATTCCGTCATTTTTGGTTGTAAGCTCTGAGCATTCCATTGTAACACATTGATGTTTATGTGCCTGTTGTTGTTATCCATTTTTTAATTTTGGTCATAATAGGCATTTCTGTTATAAACTCCATAATAAAAGATGAAACCCAATCAAATAATACTTTCACAGAATCCATCACTTTATTCTCCAAACTAGCTTTACTATCCCAAATTATTTCCTTTAATTTAATCCATACCAATTTCCAGTTATTGTTATTCTTTTTCTTATTTAATTCATCTGCTTTTTCTATATTTTCATGTGATATTTCGGACTCACTGTCTGTCAAAGTCGTCCAGTTAAACACCGTATCTGATTTCTGCTTTTTCTTCGCGTTCTCCTTTTTGTTACAGTATTTTTGTGTTATAGTAGCCTTCTTCTTTACTGTCTTAACTGTGTCAGCATATGTGTTTTTATTTTGTGATGCAGATCTTTTTTCTGTGTCTGTACTTTGGTTTAACACTTGATGTTCTATTTCCATATCTTGTACACTTCCTTGTGACTTTTGCACGTTATTTGGTTCAGGGGGGACGTAAACTGTTAGAGCTCTTTTGTAAGTGCAATTAAACTCCGCCATTAATTCCCTTATTTTCCTTTCTTTTAAATATATTGGGCATGTACGAGACAGTGCCATGTGTTTACCAGAGCAATTGTTACACTTGTAGCTTACAGTGTCACAATTGGGGTGAGACTGGGTACATTTAGGACAGATCTCTTTAACAGATGAACAAACTCGGACTGTGTGCCCGAATCTCCAACAACGAGAACATTGAGTTACGGGAAATTGATAAGGACTAACTTTTATCCTAGTTTCAAATATGTATACGTAGGCAGGTAAGGATGATCCCTTAAAAGTTATTCTGACTGATTCTCCAGGTTCCCACAGGCCACTATTTGTGTTACGGCGCTTTAATCTCTTAATACCTGTTATCTCAGTATCACAAGTTAAACCCTCGAGTATTTCTTCCTCCGATGAATCTAAGTCTATATCTTTAATAACACCATAACTTTCTTTTATCTCTAGTGTTTTTTGACATTTCAGTCCTTTTTCTTTAAAATATTTAGATTCTATCAGTTTATTTGCACTTTCTTCGTTACTAAATTGGATAAGAACTTTGAATGCGTTAATGTATTTAATTTTTATAATGTCCGGGATGTTTTCTAATTTTAACAACTTGGCAAGTCCAAACTGTTTTGGTATTTTGTCTGCAGAAGTTATACTAATTTCTATTTTATCTTCAGGTATTCTTATCTCATCCGACACCTGGCTTGTTCGGGCAAAACGTTTACCCCGCCTCGTTATATTTGTCCACATTTCATCGTGATCAATCTGTCTAGTTCTTTTACTGCATCTCACTCCGTCAGTTTCTTCAATATTTTGTATAGATTCTTCTAATATCTCCATATTCTCACAATTACTAATAGTCTCCCTACACGCTCCTATTTCATTATTCTCAATAGCTATCTCAATTGATGGTTCGAATTCAAGTTCGCAACTATCCATCACTGATAAGCATTTCTAAACAATTAAACATATGCGCGGTCGAGCGCAAGTGGTCAAACCGGTTCAAAATTGCCACAATATGCGCGTCTTACGATAACACGCGCCCGCGTGCAACTGAAGTACGTACTTAATATCACGAAGTTTGGAAACTAAATAATTAATACTAAATAATGTTACCAGTGAATCTTACCGGTAGGTACCTAATTCCTATTAATTTTTAATTTGTTAGTTACATCCTTCACGTTAAAACCGCTGAAGAGATCGTAGTGAAATTTGGAACAGGAGTAGATAATAGATTATGGTTTGGAATAACACTTAAGCTACTTTTTATAAAACGGGAACGCGGGCGAAGTCGTTGGCTAGTCATAACATAATTTGGACAAGTCCAAAAGCACCCATGAAACATTTCTGTTGTACGGTAACTTTTAAATACCCTTTATAAAAACGTATTATCATAAATAACAATATTAACAGTAGCCATGAAGGTACAAAATAAAAGTTTTCTATGCTAATTGACGACAGTTCCCATAGTATTACTGGACGTTTGAGTGCAATGTCCACGTCTGAACTTGTTAGTTAACGCAAGAGGCTAGATTTGCTACACATATGTGGCTGTATTTTATTTACAACTAACTAGATAACTAGTTTCTGATTGCACGTTGACAGTATTGATACTTAAAAATAGCTTGTTACTGTTGATTTCTTTATAATTTTCGTCATTACTTCAAACCTAACTAGCTGAGAACCATTATGTAGGTAGTTTATTTTGTTCAATATCGTTTACGAGGTTCTATTATTAATTAAGGTCTTGTTGCGTTTGTTCATTTTTATAGTTTCACGAGCCTGTTAAAGTCGTAAGATTTATGTTCCAGCATTTATGGACTAAGAAATAATTGTTTACTATTTGTAAGATAAAAACTATTTTAGCTTTCTAAACATCAAGATAAAAGGTCACGGTTGCAGGTGATTTTAGTGTACCTACTTGGATATTATAATTTTTGTGTTGTGTAATTTTTGTTTTCATTAAAGGATATTTTTTTTATTAGGAATGCTTCGAAAAGCTGGAAAGCTACATTATGCAGTCTTTCTTCATTCAATAATTTCCACAACATGGGATCTTGACTTAGATAATGGAGTTTAGAATGAAAAATAAAAACATATTTTGTTATATTATTCAAAACTTGTGACTTTAACTTGCAACATCGGTATTTGTAACGTCACAGGTGAATTGTCAAAACTGAGTCAACTGTCAACTTTGTTTGAAGTTTTGATTGGCGCTCATTTGGAGGTTATTTTATAAACAAACAGCAAAAATATAAATATTTTTAACGGTGAAATTATATTTTCTAGTAAGAATGTCTAGTAAACCTAATTCTAAGCGTACTATTTACGTTGGAGGGCTGGCAGAAGAAGTAGACGAAAAGGTATTAAATGCGGCGTTCGTACCGTTCGGAGATTTAGTAGACGTTCAAATACCTTTAGATTATGAGACTGAAAAGCACAGGGGCTTTGCATTTATCGAATTTGAGAATGCAGAAGATGCCGCCGCGGCTATAGACAATATGGTACGTATAGATTTTTTCTCATAAATTCTTAAACAAGCAAAGGAAAACAATTTACTTACGCTGTAAAATTGTTTGTTTTTTTTTAATTGTAGCGTAAAAATCACTATTTACTTATTACCAAGTCTTATAAACTTACTATATTATGATTTCCAATATGGATCAAAAGTACAAAATAGTTCATAACAAGTTTTTTATCAACATAACCTAACTCTTTTTGTAAAACATTACAGAATGACTCAGAACTCTTTGGTCGAACGATCAGAGTGAACATAGCAGCTCCACAGCGTATCAAAGAAGGTTCTACTCGACCGGTGTGGTCTGAAGACTCATGGTTGCAGAAATATGCTGGTGAAACATTACCAGTGTCCAAAGACAATAATAAAGATAAAGAAAATAAAGAGGAAGGAACTAAAGAGAATACAGAGAATTCTAGCGTAAGTTTCATTTTAAAATCTTTTTTTTTGCATGCATAGGTATAGAATTTAGCCGCAAAGAGGAATGCAACTAAGAGCGACGACTAACGACTAAGAGCTTTCTACTAGTCTATGGTGAAGATTTTTGAGTTAATTTTGGTGTTAGGTAACAAATGGTATTAGTAATAGTATTGGTAGATATATTTTATGTAATCTTATACTTACTATTATGAAGTTAAAGAGTATATTTGTTTGAACACAGGTAGGTAATCTCTAACTACTTACTGTTTCAAATTGAATAATTATTTCCATGTTACATAATATAATTTATTGAGAAAAGTTATAAAACATCATAATAAAAGCGGAGCAGAGAAGATGAAACCGCATAGGATTAGGTAGTACTACATATAATCCTTTTGACATAATCATACTATCCAGTTGGTCTTGGGTAAACTATATTGTCAGTGTCCGACTGCCAATATAGTTTACAGTACATACATTTACCTAATATATTTAAAAATATTATAAGCTGATACATTTGATGAAGAAATTCTTTGAAAAATGGCTCATCAAGTTTGTATCCCCAGAACTTCACCATCCTATGCAAGTAATTGTGGCTCAGAGGATTCATATCTATGAACAATTTATCCTATTAATTATATAGTATAAAATTGTACGGCATATACTTCTATGGTACTAACAGATAACAAATAATTATTGTTTTCTTAATTGCTTTCAGGCACCATCAAAACCGATGGAGAAGCGTAACCCACAAGTTTACTTTGACATAAGCGTTGGCAAGCAATCATTGGGCAGAATCATCATGATGCTCAGAGCAGACATTGTGCCGAAGACTGCGGAGAATTTCCGAGCACTGTGCACGCATGAGAAAGGGTTCGGGTACCAGGGGAGCAGTTTTCACAGGATTATTCCAGATTTTGTATCCTTTTTGATGTGAATATTTTTTCTTGCATCTTGTATGGGGTTGATTGAGGAATCTTTATTGATTTCCGCATAATTGGTGTGATTTACGGGAAAGTGTTATATGGAGAATTTTTAAATAGAATATAAAATTATGGTTGTAGTGATACACATTATGCTTAGTTTTTCTAGATACTGATTGATGTTAATTGAAGTAAAATAATTGTAAGGTAAAACATAAGTTTATAACAAACTGGTAAATGGTAATAGTCAAATTGTCATAGTATATAAATAACAATTCATAACTTCATCTTTTATCCCCGAAGGGGTAGGCAGAGGTGTAGGTACATTATGCCACTGTACAATATAACACCCACTTTTCACTATTTATGTTATGAGTCCCATGTAATAGGGAGTGAGCCTATTGCCATATACCGGGCACAATTCCAGACTGCTACTACTGTGAATTTCGTATATAAATATTAAAGTTAGTATGTAAATATTCAATATTATCCTTAACTAATAATAACTAGATGTGCCAAGGCGGCGACTTTACGAATCACAATGGGACGGGCGGGAAGTCAATATACGGGAGGAAGTTTGACGATGAAAACTTTACATTACGCCACACAGGACCCGGTATACTGAGTATGGCGAATTCAGGACCTAATAGCAATGGATCACAGTTCTTTTTATGTACAACCAAGTATGTATTTCGTTTTTATTTATTAAATTCTTGTAGATTATATTTTAATGTGTTGATTGAGAACAACGCCACCTTGTGGTCACAAGTGATAGCTACTTGCAAAAATTACTTCTTACGTTTGTTGCTGAATTGATATAAATACTATTGTCTTGGCAACTATATTTTTGATAGCATAACTGCTTATGATAAAAGATGTTAATAGTTTTTTAATACAAACATTGAAATGACGATGTATCTTTTTAGTGGACAGTGCCATCTATGTTGGTACTTAAGCACTAAACAATGAAAAATAAAGAATGCAAGAAAAGAGATTCTATTATTAAATTTTTGTTCCAGAACGGACTGGCTGGACGGCAAGCACGTGGTGTTTGGTCATGTGATATCAGGATTGGACGTAGTTAAGAAAATGGAGAAATATGGCAATAAGACTGGGGCAGTATCCAGCAAGATCACCATCAGTAACTGTGGAGAATTACAATGATTGATAACTTATGTAATTGTTTTATTTTTATTCTACGTGCGTAACGTAGAATGTTAACGGAATATTATTAAACTCTGTTATTTAAAAACAAATATTTAGACCTGTCTGTGTGTCCTAGGTTGTTTCGAAAGTCTAGTGGACGCAAGTGACTTTTCGGCTTAATAAAAATAAGTAATTAGTACCTACCATTGCATTAATGGCTTTCTGAGAATGTCATTAGCTTATAGTATGTACAGTGTGGATAATGATCCGGGGCTGGTCTACTAGGTCTCGGTGCCGGTGCCCGGTGCGGATGGTGGCCATCGGGGAAGTATTAGTGAGGTAAAAATTCCCACTCGCTAATCTTTTTCTCCAATATGCTAGGCGCGTTTAAAAAAAGGTATGGTGTGCAATTATACTTGGTACTCCGTACCTACCTGTATCACAATGGGCTCGCCCCCTTTTACATGGGACTCGTGAAAATCATGGTGATACGTTCGAATAGGGTAGATGTCTAATCTGTTTTTTAATATCCGTCTGGTAGATTATTTTAAATCATTAGACACGTAATTTTTATTTTTTTACAGAAACTAATACTTTCGACGATATATTGATTTGAAATGTCGCGTGACGTCACTTTTAATTACATTTCATACGTAGAAATGACGTTTTAGCCCCCACTCCTAAACTTTGATTCGTTTTATCTAAGTATTGTTTTCATAAATGACAAAATAAAAAATACGTGCCTAATATTTACTGATCGACTGACTCATTGGCCGAGTGCTCGCAAGTACGACTGCCGGGCAAAGGGTGTCGGGTTCGATTCCCGGGTCGGGCAAAGTATTACAGGGTTTTAAAAAAAAATCACAGTCGTAGTCTGGAATTGTGCCCGGTAAATGGCAATAGGCTTATCCCTTATTACATGGGACTCATAA